ATTATTGCGCCTTCTATCGATTGGTAGTGAATTTTTTCCTCGATCAATTTGGTCCTGTGACACCTAAGATCCCCAGAACAACTAGTCGCAATGCGCTGCGTCGCAACGCTGTGCTGTTCCACACCGCTGCGCGGTGCCATTCTTGGAAAGGATAGAAGGACTTCAGCACATTTCCGGAGTATCGCGTAACTATAACAATTACGCGAAGGACACACATCGAAGATTACCGAGTCAAGATCGCTACAGTATCCTTGACGGTTGACGTAGTCTAACGACACCTCGCAGAGGTTACGAAAGGGCAACGATCGCAGACCGTTGACCTCGCAACTCAACAATCAAAAGTACAAGATTCAAGTGAGCATGACAGCAAGGACAAATAACCGTCCCGGTATTACAGTACGGGTGGTTACCCGAGTCGCTCTTATCGATTCATAAAGGAAATGTACCCCTCGAAGTGCATAATCAATTAGACTCTTTGTATTCTCTTCTATTATTAAATAAACCCTTGTATCTCTTTGCTATAATCAATCACTTGTTCTTACATACTAATACAACTGTGCTATCAAGCACTCTGTTACAAGGACTTCGTTTTCTGAAAAGATCCTCGGGGCTTTTCTCAGCCCAACAGCCATAATGTTGCGCTGTCCCAAACCGTGGCAAAGCTACGCTTTGCGAATTCAATGATGGCATGAGGAAAAGCTGTCCATGCGCACATGTCCAGGTTTCCTAACTACGCATGTGACAATGGTAGGTGCTCAGGGTCTAACCGGTTCGTTGCGTACACATTTGCACTGCTACTCAAATGCGGTCAGGTGGCTCCAATGTCTCAATCGCATGCGAATTCCGTAGTGGAGAAATTCGCACACTTTTGTTTCGCAACGAATGTGCTCAGTTGCGCAATTGTTCCGCAACACCCACGCTGGATGTGGTGTTGCGGTTTTGCCGCTTTGCAGTTTCGACGCCTTTGCAGTTCGCCGCGCAGAAATTCGCTACTCAGATTTTCGCCAACCTGAACTTCGCCGACTTGAACTTCGCCAACTTGGACTTTGCCACTGTACTGCAAGTTTGCCGATCACACCTGCGGCTTGAACTGCGTTGCAATGCAACGCTCCCCGGTTCGTCACGCCAACCAGAACTAGGTGTGCACGGGTGTTGCGCACGACGAGGTGCCCACTCAAGCGAGGGCGGGGCTTTCTCGTCAACATCGTAGGTGCATTAGGCGTTAAGGCAACAGCATGAGCAGCAGGAGCACCAGGAGCAGAAGGAGGCACAAGAGCCGCAGGAGCAACAGGAGCTGCAGGAGCTCCAGGATAGGCAAGAGGAGCAGGAACGGCTGGAGGCACAGGAGCTGTAGGAGCAGCACGCAAGGATGTAGCAGGAATGCCAGCCCTGCCTGTGCCCATAGACGTGCTTGTCCCGCCTAGCATCGCAGTGGTGATCATCTCAGGCCCCAATGCGGGCGGCAAGACCGCCGCCCGCAAGACCCTTGGGATTGCCACACACATGGCTAAAGCTAGGCTTTTCATGCCACTGACAAGGGGGCGAGGCAGGGGAGGGGAGCAGGGTGGGGAGGGAGGAATGGAGGGGATGCAGGGAATAGGAGCAGAGGGGGGGAGGGAGGAGGGAGGAGAGGAAGAACAGGCAGACCAGAGTGGAGGGAGACAGGGTGAGGGGGTAGTGGATCCATGCGGAGAGAGCGGTGTGAATGGGTGTGTGGCGGTGCTACCATGGTTTGACCGGGTGGTGGATGACATCGGTGACGAGCAGTCGTTGGAGCAGAGCTTGTCCACCTTCAGCGCCCACATGCACCGCGTCTCACACATCCTTCTTGCTCCTTCCCCCTCATCCCCTTCTTTCTCCGCTTCTTCCTCCTCCTCTCTCATGCTCCTGGACGAGGTGGGCAGTGGCACGGATCCCTCAGAGGGTGCAGCGCTCGCAGCTGCCCTCTTGAAACACCTGGCTGGTGCTGAAGGACTCACACTCACCACTACTCACTATGCCGACCTCAAGAAGCTCAAGGTGAGTCTCTGAGCAGCTTCAAGAAATGGATATATTCCCCATATAAAATCTGCGTGAACTGAGATTACTTTTGAAGCTCCTCAAAATTATGCCGACCTCAAGAAGCCCAGAGTGAGTGTTTGAGCATGTGGAAGTGGCAGAGACCAAGGTCTGAGGGGTCGTCACAGGTCTACGACCCCATCAACAACCCCCAACCAAGGTATGTGCCTCAAGAAGCTCAAGGCGAGTCTTTGAGTGCAGTGTGTGGCTTCATGAACAGAGGTGGGCAGGGGTGGGCCCCTGAGACGGTGCTGCACTCGCAGCTGCCCTTTTGAAACACCTGGCGGGATGTGAAGTGCTCACACCAAGGTGCAAAAAAACGGCGTTTTTTACCGTTTAAAATGGGATCGTATAAAACGGTCGTATAATATGATTAAAACGGTCAAAAGTTGCATTTTTCGTTTGGTGCAAAAAAACGGCCGTTTTATACGACCGTTTTTTTCGTACCACTGTATAATACGGTGTACATTGTTTTTGGCCGAGCTAATAACGCTTAAGGGGAGGAGGACAAAGGGGGGGAGGACTAGGTGGATGACGCTTAGGAGGAGGAGGATGGGGGGGATGGTGGAGTAGGAGCAGAATGAGACCTAGAAGGCGACGGACTAGGGGCATGGACATCACATACCTGTTTCAAAGCCGCTAATTACCCCGTAGAACGATGCAGGCCGCCTTAGCAATCAGGCCACTTGTTTACGCGTGCTTTTTATACATTAAAAAAAAATCATGAAAAAAAGTCTAACAAAAAAACGTCGTTTTTTACCAAAACCCACCGTAAAAAACGGCAGTTTAAAACGGACCGTTTAATACGGATGCCGTTTTTTTGCACCTTGGCTCACACTCGCTACCACTGACTACGCCGACCTCAAGAAGCTCAAGGTATGATAAACAGCGGCTGAATGACCCATTGGAGGGTCACACTGTGACACCAGGCGCATACCAATGATGGCTCACACTGGCTTCCACCCAGCAACACCCCCTTCCCACCCCTTCTCTTCTTCCCTTGCAGCCCACCAATTCCTGTTTTGAGAACGCAAGTGTGGCGTTCGACCGAGTCTCCCTGCCCCCGTCATTCAACATACTCTGGGGTCTTCATGGCACCTCCCATCCCCCTTCTCTCATGCCCCTCTCCCTCTCACCACCCTCCCAGCACCCCCTTCCCACGCCTTCTCTTCTTCCGTTGCAGTCCTCCGACCCCCGCTTTGAGAATGCGAGTGTGGTGTTCGACCGAGTCTCCCTGCCCACGTCATTCAACATACTCTGGGGTCTCCCTGGCACCTCCCAACCCCCCTCCCTCATGCCCCTCTCCCTCTCACCACCCTCCCAACACCCCCTTCCCACCCCTTCTCTTCTTCCCTTGCAGTCCTCCGACCCCCGCTTTGAGAATGCGAGTGCGGCCTTTGACCGAGTCTCACTGCGCCCCTCCGTCAACATCCTCTGGGGTCGCCCCGGCACCTCCCACGCCCTCTCCCTCGCTGCTTCCCACAGTCTTCCCCCCCCCCCCCCCCCCCCCCGTCCTCGCCAGAGCCGCCAGGCTGGCTCGTGAGACAAGTAAGGAGGAGGAGCGGGAGGAGGGAGGGGAGGGAGAGTGAGAAGGAGTATGCCACCATGGGAAGGGGGGGGGGAGAGGGTGAGGAGCTGGGAATACTGGCGTCCCTGCAGCAGCAATGGCAGCGGAATGCGGAGGCTGCAGGGGAAGCAGCAGAGGCCACGCGAGACGCAGAGAGGCTTCGCAACGACTTCCCAGCCCAACATACCACGAAGGACCAGAAAAACAGGCAGAAAGAGCAGTCTTTGGCGTTTCGAGAGCTGCAGTGGTAGTGGCGGTACCAGAGAGACAGGAGGAGGAGGTGCTAGCAGCGAGGGAGGAGATCTCTAGTGTCGTTGCCTCCTTCCAGGAGGTTTCCCTTGCTTGTGTGCCGTAGCGAGTAGCAACCGACCGGGCCTGTGCTGACCTGGCAGCAGCGGCAGGACTGACCGTGCTCTTTCCTGAACCTGATTCTGCTCCAGGTTTGGGTGCTCCGGTTGGTGGTCTGGCAGGAGGCTCGGCAGATCCACGAGGAGCGGATTGGGTCCCTGCTGTGGGGGAGGGGGTGTATGTGAGGAGGTTCGGCAGCAGTATGTGTGGTACAGTGGTGGCAATGGGCTGTGGTCCAGAGAAGGCTCGGGAGAGGGTTCAGGCTCGGCACCAGCGGCTCGGCTGGTGACTGTACAGCTAGGAAATCTGAGGTTGCGAGTGCAGAGAGGAGACCTGCTTCCTGCGGAAGCTGATGATAATGCTGGTAGTGCTGCTGGGCCACAGACCATGGCTGATGGAGAGGCAGCAGGAAGGAGAGGGGCACAGGATGTTTGATGGTCGTTGGGAGCAAGACGATGATGGCATCGATGGTAGCAGTAACACGAATGGCAACAGCGCCTCAAAGCGAGGGGGTCGATTCCCATCCCCATCTTCCCTCTCCTCAACTTTATCGTCTTCGTCTCTGCCAGCAGTGAGGGAAGCAGCAGTGCAGACAGCATGCAACACAGTGGACGTTAGCGGCAGTGCAGTCTAGGCTGCCTGGTGTTGCAAATCCCGCTAGGGCAGGAGTGTGGAGGATGCCCTAGCAGAAGTGGACCTGGCAGTGCAGTCTAGGCCGCCTGGTGCCGTGCTGTTCATTGACCATGGACTCGGGACGGGCGTGCTTCGGGCAGCTGTGCTGAAATATCTCTCAAGCAGCCCGCTGGTTTCGCGGCACGGGCCTGAGAGTAGGCTGAATATCGGGTGTACTATCGCCTATATCGAGTGATAGGGTTACATTGTCAAAGTTATTGTAGCAGTGATGGGGAAGTTAGCAAGAGTATCTGTGCAGTTTCTCCTGTATGGCACTCTTGGTCTAGAGAAATGGACATGCAGAGGCAGAGGTGCCAACAAAAACTGGAATAAATAATGGCACCATGTATACAGGTGGTACGGTCGCATCCTAACATGTAGGCAATAGCCTCAACCGGCTGGAGCCTAAAAGCAGGGTCTTCACGTGGCCAGGGACGGAGGTCATCCCTGTAACATGTGAGGCTGCCAGCACGAACCAACCCTTGCCCTTGCCTGGCTGAACCCCCGTGTCCATCCATCACATTTCGACCAATGACCCACTACACGCTCCCAGCCGTAGCATCAGCCGCACCACTAGCAGCCAGGACAGCACCGCACAGCACCCATGCCCTTACTGCAAGAGCAGCAAGCACTCACCCTCTCCCCCTTTAGCGCGAGAGTGGCTGCACCACGAGGGGGGACCGCACGCTGTGGCCCTGGTCATCCGCCCACACTATATACCCGTACTTGAAGTCCTTGCTGGGTGTATCCACAGTGAACGTCAGAGTATAACTCGCCTTCTGCCCGGCACCAACCGTGAGGCTCTTAGGCGCCACTGTCACCTTCACCCCTGCTGGCGCCTTCCCAGATACACTGTATGTGGACTGGGCCCCTCCCACATTGGTGACCGTGCGAGTCACCTGAATCGAGCCCTGCAGGCGCGGTAGAGTAATGGTGGGAAGGTTGAGATTGCGCACAGCCAGGGGGGAGAGGGACACCCCTGGGAACTCCTTTTTCGCCCGGGTCAGATCCTGCCCGGCCAGGAAATTCTGGTAGTCTTTGTCTCGGGCGTCGTAGGTGAGGCCGGGGTTGAGCATGGCAGGGGGGAACACATGGCCTGCCCCCATCTCCCAGGGGGTGGCATCCCCGCCAGTGGAGCTCTTGATGGGGCTGCTGCTCGTGTCAGTCACCCGCGCCGTCGTCATCATCGCCGACATCACCTGCGCCGGGCTCCAGTTGGGGAATTTCTGGATAATTAACGCGGCCAGCCCCGCCAAATGAGGGGTGGCCATGGAAGTACCCGAGAGGCGGGCGAGGGCGCCGGGGTCGCCGATTTTCTTCCCAGGAGCGGCGGCTAGGAGGTCCACGCCGGGGCCGATGATGTCGGGCTTGAGGATGGCGTTGCCTGGTTGGGGGGGCTGGGCCGTGGCAGAGGGCGGTATGAGGGGGCCGCGGGACGAGAAGTCAGCAACCACCGGGGCGGAGGAGGAGGAGGTGGCGAAGGTGATACCTCCGTCGGCAGTGAAAGTGGTGCCGCTGCCATCACCTGGCATGGTGCCGTTGCCTGTGCTGTTGCCGCTGCCAGTGCCGTTGCAGTTGACAGTGCTGTTGGTGCTGGCGGCGCCGGCAATGGCATTGAGGGGGAGCGACTGAGTGCCGGCTGCTGCTGCTGCCGAAGCTAGGGACGCTCCCCGTGCGATGGTGCTGGCGCCCACAGTCAGAAAGAAGGGTGCGAAGTTGTCCACCGTGCGGTAACCACCCCCCTGTGACTGGCCCGGAGCGCCAGCATTACCAGCAGCAAAGGCAATGAACACCCCGGCAGCGTTGGCCCGCATAAAAGCCAGGTCGTTGAAATAGTTGTCGTTGGGATCCATGCCCCCAGGGACAGCGACAGCACATCCACGCCGTCCGCCACGCCCTGATTGACGGCTGCGATGATGTCTGACTCGTCCGCATACATTTCCCCGCTGCTGCGGTCCGTCCAGAACACCTTGTACGCCGCGATCCGCGCAGCCGGCGCCATGCCGCTCACCTGCCCGCCGCCCTGCAGCCCCACCGGGCTCCCCGCCGCCGCGCCCGCGCACCACGTGCCATGCCCGTCCGCGTCTCGTGGCGTGAGCCAGTCGTTCGCCAGCGCGGGCTTGCCGCTGGCCCGCTGAAACCCGGTGTAGAACGCCTTGGCGCCGATCACCTTGTTGTTGCATCGGAACGAGTTGGACTGCTCGCATTTACCCTTCCACCCAGAGGGGAAGTTCGAACTAAACCCTTGTCGGAGAACGAGGGGTGTTCGGGCCAGATGCCCGTGTCGATGATCCCCACCACCGTGCCGTCGCCCGCCTTGCTCTATCCGCCCACGGCGGGCCACACCTTTCCGGGGAGCCCCAGGAACTTGGGCGAGTCGCTGGTCCGCCGCTGGAACACGCGGCTGCGGCGCACGGACGCCACGGCGGGATGGCGCTGCAGGCGCCACGCCTGGCGCGGGGTGAGGCGCGCGGCGAAGCCGTTGGACGTGTGCTTGAAGCTGTACAGCAGGTCGCCGTCGCCCACGCCCGCCTCAGATGCCACCTGCGCCTGCTGCCGCTGCAGCAGCGACGCGAACGCTGCCACCTGGGGGCGGTCCATGCTCAGATGCAGCCTGTGCCGCGCGCACCCGCCGCTGCCGCTGCTGCTACCACCACCATTCCCACGACCACCGCGTGCGCTGGAAGTCGAACTGGTTTCAGGCGCCGCATCTGCTGGCGCTGGCGCAGTTGCGTTGGGGAAGTGCTGATCGGCGTTGGTGTCGTCCAAGTCGACGGACTCGGGCTCTGACTCGGATTCGCCGCCTGCTGCGCCGGAATCTTCGGCCGCGAGAAGCATCTCCGGCACGCGGTCGTCGTCGTTCTCCTCCTCGTCGCTGCCGTCGTCCCACGTGGCAGTGGCGGGGTACCCCGCAATTCCGCCGCGGTATTCGGAGAGGGGGGGCGCCGTGCTCAGGCGCACGATGTACACGGCAGAACCGGCGGTGTCTGGCGCCTGGAATTTGCCCGCGTTGCCTCTGGCGGGCGCCGCAAAAGGCTGGGACTCGGCACCGTTACGCCACCACTGGCGTGGTGCGCCTCTGGATGGCTGCGCTGCTAGCAGAAACGCGCCGAAGATCAGCAGCAACGCGATTGTGGGGCCGCCGTTTCTCATGGTGGGACTCAACTAATCACGTCTGGGTATTAATCGCGGTACCTTCTCTTAGCAGTTGTTTGCAGTAGTTGTCCTAACAAAAGGCCCAGACAATGGCTACGTGGATTGTCTGAAGTGGATGCAAGTGTGTTTGGAATTGCCGATGCTGGTTTGTTGTGAGCCGATGTTGGGCCTAGAGCGGTTGGCTGGGTTTATAAGCAACCCACTCCCAAATGTGGCGCGCCGTATTTGGAAGATCAGGTCGCATCGCGATGCAGCTACGGGGATGGTCAGAGATGTGGCTCGGGTCCGAGGGGCTGCAAAGAGAGAGGGGAGGGGAGTGTGCAGGGGACGGGAAGCGAAGGAGGAACTGCAGCTGCGGACCAGTCCATAGCTTGCGAATTTCGAAATCATGTTGGTAACCCCAGATAGCTAGCTGCGCAGGGGATCCAGTGCCTTGCTGGGGTGGTGTGCCATTGGTCTGAGCGAAAGGCGCGGAGGAAGTCATCTGTCAGCCATTGCCTTAGGGCGTGTCCCCAAAAATCGTTTTGCCGTTTTGGACATGGCGAGACGTCGAAACGTCGCGAAATGCGAATTGATTTCGCAAACGTACCTGGTCTAGAAACGGGTCCCACAATAAGGGGGCACTTGGGGAGGGCAGGATGGCGGGTAACGGAGTACCACCTAGCGAAGCCGTGTCCAGTAGGCTTTCCACCCTTGGGGGAGCATTTGCTTGGCGACATGCGAAGTTTCGTGACATTGATTTTTCCGTCGACATTATTTCGCTTGCTCTAGCCCTGGATGTGGACCACCTGCTGGAGTTTCGGGGTTTTTCTGTTCGCAGGACTTTGAAATGTCCGCGTGTGTTCCCTGACTACGGCTGAGGGTCGAGCGTGGCATTTTTGGCACTTTATCAGGGGTTACGATCCTCAAAGTGCACGTACATATTTGACACGCCCTTAACTAGCGACAGGCAGTACTAAAATTTTGCGAAAGGGCTGGTTACAGGTCAATTTTACTAGGCACGCGGGTTGTTAATTGGTTCACGCATACCAGCCTGGTTCAAAGGGTTAATGTTTTTTTTTAGTTTAAAGAAAATCGTGAATGCATCCCGTTTACAAGTACCTTGCCTATACACAGAAGTTACGCAAAATATTTAGGCAATGGCGCTCGTGTTGACGATGAGGAGAGCACCGATGGCGAGAAGGCCGCCGAAGGTGAGGAACCACAGGAGAAGACCGGCCTTGCCTGCAACGTCAACACTCCAGATGTTAGACAGCGGAACAAGGGAAGAAAAGCCTGAGGGCAGCAAAAGTAAAGCAAGCACACGGCACGTAAATTACTTACCACCCTCGTAGGTGTCACCCTTGGCGGACCACTCCGACGGGGTCCAGATGGGGCTGTAGCCGTCGACGTTAGCGCCGTACTTCTTGGCGAAGGAGTAGGCACCCTTGCCCTTGGAGGGGGAGCCGGAGGGGTCCACCTTGAACTTGTAGTCACCGCTGGGGCCTGCATGCATGAATTACCAGTGCGATTATCAGGACGCGGTTGCCCGGGCATGGACGACGGAGCGACTGTCAGGAAATACGCGGAGAGCTTGTCGGAAACGTTCTTAACATTCCAAAATCCCGCAGCTGTCAAGGCTACCAGGAACTGATGGAAGACAACTACTAACCCAGGGGGGTGTTGGTCTTGATCTTCTTGCCGCCGCTGGCGGACACCTTCAGGCTCCGGGACACGGAGACGGTCTTCCTGGCGGGGAGGGTAGGAAGAGCGACGCCGGAGAAGGTGCTGGAGAGAGCGGCGGTGGCAGCCATGGCTACGGTTTGAGTTTGGGTGAAAACGAAGGGTGAAGCAAGGAGCAGGTGGGCAGATGCGTTCACAGGGATGCTCGGAGCTTACCGAATTCTGAGAGCTTGGGACAATATGACCCCCCCAGAACGATTTTCCCGATGTTTTCCCTCTTCTGCCCGTTTCGCTCCATCAATCTACTTCGGAGATTGCCTATTGGCCAAAACGACAGCTACGTGACGGAACTTTCCACCCGGGCAGGTAAAGAACTTGCGCACAACATCGCTATCAGGAAGGGAGCGTAGGCTATCTGGAGGAGCAATTAGGCATTGCCACGTCAGAGAACCACTCGAAATGCCTAAAGTTGTGATCCACCCCAAAGTCATTCCCTGCCACATGCTCAACGAGCCTTGTTACTAGGTCACTGCGGTGTGCTGACCTTCAAACTGGTGAATTGTTCGTGCTCAGCGATTCTGGCGACGGTAGCGGCTCTCGCTCGAAAAACTGTCGCAAACGCGAAGCAAAATGAAGGCATTCTTCAATGTAACTCCCATTCCGTTTTCTATTCAAAACAAAATGAAAATAACCAGATGCATACACAAGTGTTTGATGGGCTGTAGAGTGTGGAAAATCATGTTCGGTGTTGAATGAACCAACTTCGCCTCAAAATACTATGAACTATGCAGAAATTTTGCTTTTCGTATGGTGTGGAGGGAAATATGCATAACCATGTGCTATTTGAGTGTTTATTTGTTTAAAGCCCATGTCCCAAATTACTTACTCAAAGTCAACGCGAGGTGAGCTTGGCAGGTGGCGAAAACTGTTGGGCTGAGAAAAGCCCTTGGGATCTTTCCAGAGACTAAGTCCCAACTGTAAAGACTTGGGGTAGTGCAGCGGAAGTTGAGGCAGTTGAACCTTGTACTAGTATGTGAGAACAAGTGATAATAAAAAGGCAAACATACAGCAATATATAGAAGATAAGAAACAGTTGTAGAGTACAGTTGCAGTAGCGGTTTATCGAGTCGTACAGCGACTCGATTGTCGCTTCGGTTACCATCCGTGCTGTTGTAACGGTCAGTCGCAACCTCCAATTGCGACCCTTTGAGTCCCAAACCCTTCGTGTTCTTTGTCCGCCCCCTCGTGTAACCTCCGTTGACTCGCGTACCCCTTGCAATCTTCCTCGAGTGTAGTGTTACACTTCAGAAACGCTTAAGTCTTTTGATGTACTTTCAACAAAAACAAATGAAATGATTGGGTGCAGAAGCTTGCAACTTTGTTTATTTCGCGAGAGTTTTCGTAAGGAAACTGGGCCCTGCTGGGACACATAAAGTCTCAGAGTTAGAAGTGTTGAATAGAATGAGAGTATAAAGGGGTATATAGCTAGTGGGTTGTACTATCTAAGAACACACACCTATTCTATCCTATAACTTATACATGCAACTGTATGCATAAAGGGTAGTGCTGAGCAAGAAGCACACAGCTCAGGGCGGCA